AGAATCAGAACTTAAGTCATTATATGACCACTTGAGGTTTTTTTGTTTTGTTTTGTTTTTCACTTGAGGTTTTTGTGTCTTAAAACAGTGACATAGGGTGCAGTCTTCAAAATATGATATTTTTGTTTTGTAATTACAAATTTTAGTTCATACGTGAAATATTTTACTGAATTTGAATATCTTTAAAGTAGAATTCTATTTTTTATTGAAGCTCAGAATTCAAAGCTAAAAATAGAATTTTATTCAAGTTAAACTTGAAAAGAATTTTATTTTTAAAACTAAAAAAATCAGAAAATACCAGGGATTGCTGTTATTGCATTATACACTTATTACTGAGCATAAATCCATTCTGTAGAGGAGAGTAGCATTAAAAATCACTTGTTCCAGATGTCAGATATGCTAGGCCTGCCACTGTGTATGAACTTGTACAAGATGACCAAGTTATTTAGGAAATATTTCTTGCATTGAGTAAGCTTAAATTGACAGAAGAAAATGGAAACAGATTGGCAGTGTTGAAGGAATTCCTGACTAAGTTATATGTTTAGGGAGCAGTTCAGAGTTATGAATTACTTGGGTATATCAAGACTGAATAAGAAGCGGAAATGTGGGGAATTTGTATAAGAGGGTAAACCTGGGCCTGCATCTGGAGTAGGAGGCAATTTGAGATTCTCAAACAAGATAGCAACTTTGGTGGGGGAGAGCTTGAGTTTCATCATTTTGGCAGCAACACACAGCATGAGTGGGAACAACAGAAGACCCCAGTGAAAGGCGAGTCATAAGGTTGGTATGGAATTTCAGGCATTAGCTAATGACATTTTCCTTGGGGATAGCAGTTACGGGAATGGAGAAGGGACAAATCAAAGAGGTCTTATAAACAACACTGTGAAGATGTCTATTTTCCCCTAAGTTGACCATAAGTTTAATGCAATTCTTATCTAAATCCCAGCAAGGTTTTTTTTTTTTTTTTTTTTTTTTTTTTTGAGACAGAGTTTCGCTCTTGTTACCCAGGCTGGAGTGCAATGGCGCGATCTTGGCTCACCGCAACCTCCGCCTCCTGGGTTCAAGCAATTCTCCTGCCTCCGCCTCCTGAGTAGCTAGGATTACAGGCACATGCCACCATGCCCAGCTAATTTTTTGTATTTTTAGTAGAGACGGGGTTTCACCATGTTGACCAGGATGGTCTCGATCTCTTGACCTCGTTATCCACCCGCCTCGGCCTCCCAAAGTGCTGGGATTACAGGCTTGAGCCACCGCGCCCGGCTAGCAAGGTTTTTTTCTGTAGATATCAATAAGCTTATTCTAGGATGTATATGGAAAGGCCGTAAAATAGCTGGAATAATCTTGAAAGAGAAAGATAAAGTGGGAAGAATCACTCTACACTGTATTAAGGCCTCGTATATAACTATAGTATAAAGGTGGTGTCCTATTAGCAGATGGACACATAGATCAATGTAACAGAATAGAGAATACCCCCCTCCATAATCCCCAACTGACTGACCCCACCCAAGTACAGCCAACCAACTTTTAACAAAGTTGCAGAAGTGAGGCAATGGATGAAGAAGAGCATTTCCAAAAAACAGTGCTGGAGCAACCAGAGATTCCTAGACCAAAAAAGAAAATGAACCTTAATGTAGACTTTATACCTTATGTAAAAGTTAGCTCAAAAGAGATCACAGACTTAAATATAAAATGCAAAACTATAAAACTCTTAGAAAAAAAATTAGAAAAATCCTTGGAATATAAGGCCAGGCAAAGAGTTCTTACACTTGACACCAAAAGCATAACCTACAATGGGAAAAACTGATAAATTGGACCTCATCAACGTTATAAACGCACTCTGCAAAAGACTTTGTTAAGAAGTGAAGCAATAAGATAGCGAGAGGAAGAAAATATGTGCAGACTGCACATCCAACAAAGAACTAGTATGTGGAATATATTAAAAAACGTTCAAACCTCAGCAGTAAAAAACAAATAACCCAATTAGAAAATATACAAGAGACATGGCTAGCCATGTGCAGAAAGCAGAAACAGGACCCCTTCCTGACACCTTACACCAAAATTAACTCCAGATGGATCAAAGACTTAAACATCAGACCTAACACCATAAAATCCCTAGAAGAAAATCTAGGCAAAACCATTCAGAACATAGGTGTAGGCAAGGACTTCATGACCAAAACGCCAAAAGCAATGGCAACAAAAGCCAAAATAGACAAATGGGACCTAATCAAACTCCACAGCTTCTGCACGGCAAAAGAAACAGTCAGTAGAGTGAATCAGCAACCAACAGAAAGGGAAAAAAATTTTGCAGTCTACCCATCTGACAAGGGGCTGATATCCAGAATTTACAAAGAACTAAAGCAGATCTACAAGAAAAAAACAAAGAAGCCCATTCAAAAATGGGCAAAGGATATGAACAGATACTTTACAAAAGAAGACATACAGGAGGCCAACAAACATATGAAAAAATGCTCATCATCACTGGTCATCAGAGAAATGCAAATCAAAACCACATTGAGATATCATCTCACACCAGTTAGAATGGCGATCATTAAAAAAATCGGGAAACAACAGATGCTGGAGAGGATGTGGAGAAATAGGAACACTTTTACACTGTTGGTGGGAATGTAAATTAATTCAACCATTGTGGAAGACAGTGTGGCGATTCCTCAAGGACCTAAAAATAGAAATCCCATTTGACCCAGCAATCCCATTACTGGGTATATATTTAAAGGATTATAAATCATTCTACTACAAGGACACGTGCACACGAATGTTCATTGCAGCACTGTTTACAATAGCAAAGACCTGGAACCAACCCAAATGCCCAACGATGATAGACTGGATAGGGAAAATGTGGTACATATACACCATGGAATATTACGCAGCCATCAAAAACGATGAGTTCACGTCCTTTGTAGGGACATGGATGAACCTGGAAATCATCATTCTCAGCAAACTGACACAAGAGCAGAAAATCAAACACCGTATATTCTCACTCATAGGTGGGTGTTGAACAATGAGAACACATGGACACAGGGAGGGGAGCACTACACACTGGGTTCCGTTGGGGGGAAATGGGGGAGGGATGGGGGGTGGGGAGGTGGGAAGAGATAGCATGGGGAGAAATGACAGATACAGGTGAGGGGATGGAAGACAGCAAACCACACTGCCATGTGTGTACCTATGCAACAGTCTTGCATGTTCTTCACATGTACCCCAAAACCTAAAATGCAATTAAAAGAAAAAAAAAAATATATATATATATATGAGACAAAGGCAGACATTGCATCAAAAAAGATATACAAATGGTAAGCATATGAAAAGACATTCATCATTGTTAGCCACTAGGGAAAGGCAAATTAAAACCACAATGAGATACAGGTCATGTGGTCATTTCTGATTTGGCTGGACCACACATTTATGGCACATATGAAGAGTCTAGTGTCTAGAAATTGATAATTTATCCAGTAAAAGAGCTTAGCTGATGCCAGTGGCTCTCTTATAGTGACTTGTTTCCTTCTTGTTTTGTCATATAAATGAAGGTTCTAATTGTATTCCCAAATCTGAAGATCCACAAAGGTCTCCAGAGGTAGCTCTCCAAAATGTCACATCTAAGTCTAGCAAGATTTAGTGACCAATTACATATAGGAGTTACTCAAGTGTTTATGAAAATTAGCACCCTTTGACCTTATCAACAGTCCCAGCAGCTATGTGGGGCAAAGCCTGGGCCACTTGCCAGCTGTGTGATGTGACAAGACACATATTTCTTTGAGATTCAGTTTCCTCCTCTTAAAATGAGAATGGCAGTTCTTTCCTTACAAGGTCTTGTGAGGATTAGATCAAACACCATACGTATGAGGTACCTAGCCTAGTGCTCAGTGTGGTTGTGGGTGCTGTTTCCGTACCCAAGCCAATGCTGTAGTCTCCAGGAAGGATTGAAGTGAGTCTCTTACTGGAGTGCTTTAATTTTGTTGACCATGTGGCTAAGAATGTCTGAAAAAGATCCCAAATTTATTATTCTGCCTTGCTCTTCTCTTACATATGCTAATGCTTGTCTGAATACATATGTTGTTTTTTTCAAAACACAAGATCACTTTAGCTATACCCAACTTCTTCCCATGGTCATTCAGCTGGCAAAGGAGCTGAGCAAATGTTCGCATGAGCTTTCCTTCAGTGTGTGTATTAGCATGGGAAATATCATGGGATTTCTTTCTCTCACCTGGCAGAGCCTATACAGAGAAGGTACCCATAAACATTTGCTGAATGAAAAAAATGAGTCTTGATGCTATAGAGGAACATAAAGTTGGGAGTGAGGAATCCACATACATTCTCTTCACCAGGAAGATATTTGGGGACAAGGACAGGCAGGGCACATAGTTTAGATGTTAGATGGTCATAAAGGGGTGGGGAGGAAAGGGTGCATCTAACTGTGGAAGCCTGGAAAAGCCGCAGTAAGGACATGACATTCATGGTTGTCTTAAACTGGTGTTGCTGTTGCCGATGGTAATGATAATAGCAAACTGGTATGTAACACTTTTACTTCAGGCACTGTTCTAAGTGCTTTCCACAGGTTAGCTCATTTAATCTGCTCAGCAACTGTGTGGGAGAGTTACTATTATTCCCCTAATTTGACAGATGGGGAAGCTAAGGCACCAGGAGGGTAAGAAATTTGCTCAAGGTCACACAGATTGTAAGAAGAAAATCTCTCCCATATTAGCATTATGAACTCTTGAAGTATGGTTCTAGGGAAGCCAAGGGAGTTCCATCTGCTGTGAGAACAGTATGACTCCTATCTTAACATATACCTATAAACATGGGTAGTTGGAATTCACAGGGCTACTATACTCATGTTGCACACTTTAAGTGATCATAGTAACTTGCAGTGAAAATTTCATCACTGATGTTATGTAACAACCAAAAATCTGTGTGTAAGACATTCCTGCTACCTCTCAGGGGTCTCCCAAACATCCTCTCACTTTTCTTTTCTTTCTTTTTTTTTTTTTAATATGGAGTGCTTCATGCATTTTCATGCCATCCGTTCCCAGGGGCCATGCTAATCTTCTCTGTATGGTTCCAATTTTAGTATATGTGCTGCCCAAGTGACTACGCCTCTCACTTTCCGACGTGAGACTTACAAGTTCTGGGCACTCCTAGAATGTTGATCAAAATCATAGCAGACCACAGGTCACAGCTTGCACCTAAGTTGGTCCTCACCACTTTTTTGTTAAAATCATGATTGTTTTACTTTTTCATATTCATGGCCACATTCCTCAATTAGAATCCCTCTCTGTTTCACAACCTGCTTCCTGTGGCTCTGTGTGTGTGTGTTTGTATAACAGAATGTGTGCTATGGCTGTATGAGCTTTGAAAGAGCAGTTGTAACCTAGGCCTCTCAATGCTTTTTTGTTAATGAGCCCTGCATCCTCATCCAGCTCTAGCAAAGCTTTGCTAAAAACAGACTGAGGTCATTCATGTGTAAATGGAGACACACCAAGAAAAAAATTAATACCAAATGTACATCAAGATCAAAAGAAAAAATAAATTTCTCAATGGAATACTCAGAGCTATGCAGAGACCATTGGTTACTGCTGCTTCACATAAAATTGAAAGTCAGAGCATGTTTCAGAAAGGTTCTTAAAAAGGCTGGGAGCAACCAGAGGCTGTGATTTGAGAATCCCACAAGGATGACTGCCCCTAAAACTGGCTGAATCCTGAATTACACAGGGAATATGTATGCACAAAAACTGTAATAGATGCCAAAAAAGAAAAACTAAGAGTCTCAAGGCCTATGGAACTCAGGGCCTACAACCAAAACATTTTCATTTAAAGACAAATACACACAATGTTATAGTAAAATTAGCATCCATAAACTATTTGATCACAAATTATAATTTTTTTTTTTTTTTTGAGACAGAGTTTCGCTCTTATTACCCAGGCTGGAGTGCAATGGCGCGATCTCGGCTCACCGCAACCTCCGCCTCCTGGGTTCAGGCAATTCTCCTGCCTCAGCCTCCTCAGTAACTGGGATTATAGGCACGTGCCACCATGCCCAGCTAATTTTTTTGTATTTTTAGTAGAGACGGGGTTTCACCATGTTGACCAGGTTGGTCTCGATCTCTCGACCTTGTGATCCACCCACCTCGGCCTCCCAAAGTGCTGGGATTACAGGCTTGAGCCACCGCGCCGGGCCTACAAATGATAATTTGATGAATTTTTCAAAATCAAAAATATGTAAACATGTCAGAACAAATCATTCTCCTGATTATCATTGACAGGCGAATCTACAGAAATAAATGTAGACCTTAGGTCCAACACATTCATTTGTACATTTGATCATGCATTCATCCAGGGAGTATCTATTGAGCACCTACTAGGTGCCAGGGTGAACTCTGAAAAAAAAAGAGCAGTATAGGAGGCTGGTTAAGAGTGAGGTTGGGAGTCAGAGAGACCAGGCTTAAATACTTGCTCCACCACTTACAAACTGAATGACTGTTCAACAAGGGAGTAAACCTCCCTCAGCTCCTGATTTCTCAACTGCGAAACGAGGACTATCATATTTGCCTTGCAAGGTTCAATTGGATGAAGTAATATACGTGACAAACTTATCCCAGTGCCTGGCCCACCATAAATGTTCTGAGGAAAAGGTAGGAGCCAGGGGAGTGGTACTTTAACAATTTACACTTCCTAAACCCAGAGATACCCTGGCATCTTCCTCCTTACTTTTCTAGAAGAGTACTCCAAAGATACATTCCCCTGCCCCAGCCCATCCACATATGCATACTGTCAAAAATGTGGCTGGGGCTGGGTGCAGTGGCTCACATGGGGCACGATGGCTCGCACCTATAATCCCAGCACTTTGGGAGGCCAAGGTGTATGGACCACCTGAGGTCGGGAGTTCAAGACCAGCCTGGCCAACATGGTGAAACTCTGTCTCTACCAAAAATACAAAAAATTAGCTGGGCGTGGTGGCAGCACCTGTAATCCCAGCTACTTGGGAGGCTGAGGCAGGAGCATTGCTTGAACCTGGGAGGTAGAGGTTGCAACGAGCCGAGATCGTGCCACTGCACTCCAACCTGGGTGACAAGAGCGAAAGTCCATCTCAAACAAAAACAAAAACATGTAGCTGGCTAGTAGCCAAGGAGAAGGGCCACTAGGAGGTTCATGCAGAGGCAGGCTCAGAAGACACGGATGCTGATGGGAAGGGGAAACAGGATGAGGATATCAAGGCTGGCTTCATCCTTGCTCTCCCTTTTCTCCCTGAGGCCAGGTAGGAAACAGCTTCCCCTTATCTCTTTAGGGCGGGGAGCTCAGGGACACTCCTGGACATCTAGAAGCCTCTAACCCAATGGGCAGTCTGGCTCCCTGACACACAGACACCTGCTGCTGCCCACCCTTTCTCAATTCCTCCTCCTGGTGGAAGAAGCTAAATCATGAGAGGTGTCCCATGAGGAGGCCTAAGGTTGGCCCTGAAGGGCAAGTAGGAGTCAGGGGAAGATTTGTGGTTGTGGCCGTGTGAGTGTGATACTGAGAGGGAGCACCGCTGCTGGCTGGGGCCCACAAAGGGTGGGAAAGGAACTCAGAGACAGAATTGTCACATTCAGCAGGTAAGAATAGCAGACCCTGGAGTAAATTTGAATTTCAGATAAACAACAAATCATGTTTTAATCTGTGTCCCATGCAATACTGGGGGTATATGGATACAAAACATTATTCATAATTTATCTGGATATTCTGTATTTTATCTGTCAACTCTAATCAGAAAGGGAAGGAGGAGAACATCCTCTATTTTCCCTGTGTTTCCATGTGAAACTAGATAGAACACAATATCTCAACAGTCTGCCTGTTCCTCAAGTCACCCTCATAGGCTGAAGCCTGTAGCCCAGCCTCTTTGAGGAGATATTGAGTAAGAGTCCCCACTGTGCAGAGCATGGTACTGGGTGCTAGGAATACAGAGGTGTACAACAGCCCCTGACTTAAGGACCCACTCACTAATGGGGGACCAAAACCCAATGGGACAGTAATCACAATTAAAATAACAATAGCAATTATTAATATTTATTGAGAGCTTATTGGGCCACTCTTCCAAGCACTTCATAGATTATTTTATTTATGTTTTTGTTTGTTTTGTTTTGTTTTTGAGACAGGGTCTCACTCTGTTGCCCAGGCTAGAGTACAGTGGCTTGATCATGGCTCACTGCAGCCTTGACCTCCCACCGTCTCAGGTGATCCTCCCATCTCAGCTTCCCGAGCAGCTGAAATCACAGGATGCACCATCACCCTGGCTAATTTTGACCACCCTATGAAGTAGATTGCATTACTAACTTCAGTTTTCAAATGAGGAAACTGAACCTTGTAAGGAAGGTAACCAACCATGGTGTTTTTTACCCGAATTGAGATGTGTTTTGTTTATTTTTATTTCTAAGAGAAATTTTACTGCTGGTAGGTTTTTTAAAAAAATTTTTTAGAGATGTGTTTTTAAGTGAAAAGGAGCACAATCCATAACTACACAGAGCAGCAGGTGTCCTCTGGAGCTGCCCCAGCATACTGGGATTATGGCATTCTACTCATAGGAGGCATGCGTGGTAGAAAGTGGCAATGGGAGGCTTCAAACCCAGGCAGAATGGCTCCAGAACTCATGCCCTTAACCAGGAACAGTAAGAAAGGAGGTTGATCCACAGGCACTTCTTCTTATTGGACGCCAAGCTTCTGGGGATGGGGCCTCCTGTTTTGCTTCCCATTGTGGCCTTGGAACCTGGCACCCAGCACCCAGCACCCACTATCCAAGCATAGAGTGGGTGCCAAAAAGCACTTGATGAGCAAATGAAGCTGGGAAGCCTTTATGGAGATGGTAGGATATGAACAGAGCTTGAATAACGGAGAGGACCTAGGCAGGGACCCCTTTCTCTTCCTGGCTCTGTCCCTCCTCCCAGGTGCTTGAGGCAGGATCCGTCAGAGAAGGCTGTTCAGTGAGCTCAGCATAGGACTGCAAAGCAAATCACTGGGACATAAAAAGGTGACACCCATTCTTGAAACTAAGTCATGAAGGGCTCTGTTAGCCCTGACCCGACTCTCACATGGTGCTGACTCAGGTACTCACTGCCTGCCCTCTCCGGTCCAGATCCTATATAGATTTAGAATCTGTCACATTGCCTGCATCCTGACCGATTGACTGCCCTGTATTGGTTCCTGTAGCACTAGCAGTACTCTGTCTTCCCGGTGAGCTGACTGACCCCCAGGGAAGTCTCCCCGACTTCCATCTCCTTAACCAGCTCAGGACTGCTTTCCTCTGTGTTCCCACTAGAGGCCCTAGCCTGAGGCCACCCACTCCCAGTGGCTCTAACTGCACCCCTAGAGCCTGCTACTTCCGTCTCTTCAGTGAATTTAAGCCTACAACAATCCACTGCAAACCTACACCCTCTTTAAACAGGAATCATGAGATCTTTAAAACAATAAACAAACCCCTCCTTGCTGAGGATCAGCTAGCTACTCACCATTTAAGAAGAGAAAGCAAATTTATAGAAGGGGAGAGACAGCCTGACAGCTGGCTCTCCTCTCTCTTTAGAAATATATCATTAAACCCAGTGACTCCTGCCTGACAGCTGTAGAATGAACAAGGAAGGGCTCTGTGTGACATTTTTGTTCTACTAACAATTTGACTGCATGTAATGAACTAACTAGACTGTAAACTGAGGTGATGGGTAGTGCATTATAAGTGTAAACTTCCCAAAGTCTAGTGCAGTTTTACTTATGGAAATACAATAAACATAATTAATTTGAACTGACTGCTAAGGGTGTGTCTACGCTTAAATAGCCTAACTTACTTCTGACACAAAAGTGCTAGTTAGTCTGTGGCAAAAAGAAACCTAAGTACTTAAGCCCTAATCTTGAAAATCAGAGCAAAAGGAAATGTCAATCACTTTACAAATCATTCTGGTCCCCTTGTCTCAATTTCTTTCCAGCTGTAGGGCTTTGTTGCTGTCAAGCTGGGTGACCTTGAATAGGTCCCTAAACTTTCTGGGTTCTTAATTTCCTAGTGCTGAATCAGGCAGGTTCAATAAGATGATCTTACGGTCTCTTTCAACTCTGACATTCCAGGATTCTCGCTGA